GTCACAGGAGAATGAACAATACACACATACAAACTGTCATATATCTATCTGATCGGCGCTTATTTGCCGCTAACAGATACTTTCCAAGATTACATAATTCTTTAATATTCTGTGTATTAAGTAATTGAACAAGCTTATATACACTAGGGTTATTTCTATAGTAACATTTTAAATACTTCCGTCTTAAATCTGTATATCTTGTGCAAACTAAAACAAAATGAAACTCGTCTTCTATGTCATTAAGATTTCACTTTGTACACAATCTATTAGTTCATTGATCTTAAGCCTTAACAGAACAAGAAAGCTATTTTAATATATATATATATTCATTTAAAACGCAACTTAAATAACACAAATCTCATCGCGTACAGAAAAATGGTCCATTTCGAATTATTGTACGAAGCAATTGTGCTTAAAATTATTATTTCAGATTATTATAAAAGATTGGGGGATTGGGGGGGAGTTAATCGTAAAAAGGTCATTTACCTTGATTGCAGCTTGTGAATTACACTTGTTTGACTTTAAGCGACTGACATGTGCTTCGTCACACAAACTAGACCCTTGCCGTTCAAATGTTTAAAAACTCGTATGGAACATCAGCATTGAATTTTAATATGTTTACATTAATTTCATCTGCATATATTTATTATTGATTGTTTGTTTGTTTGTTTTGCTTGTTTATTCGGACTTTAACGTCTTCCTCGCAACAGCAAATGAATAAGGGTGCCTGGGGAGAAACCGCCAGACACAGAAAGTGGCATGGTAGAATCAATGAACGATAGACGGGAACGATAGGAAACGAAAATACTCCAAATGTTGCGAGGTGTTCTCCACGTGCCAACGTATAAATCAACAATAGCCAGGTGTTGTTTGATAAGACAATGGCACGTCAATTACATATTGTTTCATATGAAGGCTGTAATGTTCACCTGAATATTGTTTATTTGTAATTGAAAGATCAGTTCAATTATTGTTACATTGAATACTTCAAGATCAGCTTGTTAATATTATCAAAAGTATAAAACTTCAGAAAAGTAAAATTTTATAGAGTATATATATTTATTATATTTCTTTATAACAGGTACATTCTAAGTTTTACAGGTACATTCACTTGTTGAAACTCAGATACTTTTTTTTTTTAGAAAAGGCTATAATTCCTATCAAAACAAGTTGCCCCAAAGGATACCCCTAATATTACAATGGGGCAGGATATCGATTCTATGGCACGCGGGTGTTAGGAAGGACAACTCTGGGTAGAGATTGCGTTTTGCGTTAGTCCGTACTATAGTAGGTCATTGTCTATGAGGTCATTTTGACAACGTGAAATGGACTGACAGTTTCCGAAAATATTTCGATTTTTAAAGTCATTGAAGAATTTTTATAAGTCATAATAATAATAGCAAATATTGTGTCTGAAGAGCAGTAGATTTCCCTTCACAACTGGTCTACATCTCATAGCAAAACTCAACACGTGTTTAAGTTTACAATTTTATTTTTTATTGCAATAAAGCGATAGGAACACGCCGACACATTACATCAATTTCGAACTCTACAACCTCCTACCCTCTTTACTACAATCACAATACCACACCAATGACTACCGTAATCTTCAAAATTACCCGACGTTTCTCGAGATTAAACATTTTTTCAAACAAAAAACCGGGTACGTGTGTCGTCTCCGGTCTACCTGTGCTGAATGACACACGTTCGACTCTGGACAACAAGCTGCACGTGCAACTAAATCCACGCAACCTATGAGAAAACTCGCCACATAGGGGGAAAATATTTCCGTATAATTCACTTCGCTCAATCTACAGAAATTTCATTTCATGTTATCTCGTGCTTTTAGTACAGTAGAATTGTAGTTTATTTGTGGAGAGTTGTCTTCCTTATGGCTGATTTAGGTTAATAAACGTGCAATGTTTCAGCTTGACAAAGGGACCGATCGGTCTTGAAACGTTGCGACGCGTTTAATACGTACTTTGTTTGTGCATAAAGATAAAGGGGGAAATTACATAATTCCAACCTAATTGTGTGTTACAATATGTTTTATACTCCAAAGCTCAGTTTTTATATCATGCAATAGCTAATATCAAATTCACACCAGACATTATATAAAATCAAAAACATCTAATATATTACATCAGTAAATGCATACATTTTAATCAAACCATAAACACATATTATATATTAAATCACATTGACAAGAGGCCCATGGGCCTTCACGGAATTCTGATATATATTTATACAGAGAGTTGATTTTTGTTTTTAAAATATGAACAGAATTATTATTCAAAGAGACAAAAAAAACAATAAAACCAACTTATTCAATATCTAGCATACAGATTTAAGACTGAAAGGGATTTGAAACTGGCACCTCTGAAAAATGAGAAAATGAAAAATGAAGACATTTTAGCATACTGACTCCTTTGGGCCCCACCCTACAGCATTGGGGAGGGGGGGAGGGCTGGCTCAAAATGTTCAAAGTATCGAACTGTCAACTCAGCTAGGTTATAATTCGAATCAAGTTATCAACATGTAATATCCAAAGTATCATTTGCATAATACATTTTGCTATCCAATACTGATAATGCTAACCAAGTTTGAATTAATTCCAATGGAAATTAAACAATTGTTGGTCCAAAATGTGATTTCCCTATATAAACTATAGCAAAATTAATCCCCCTCCTCAGGGGGGAACGTGAGACCCCAGGGTCATGAAATTCACAATTTTGGTAAAGCACCTTAAGACCCTTCCATCTATGAAGAGTATTTGATTCTACCATATCTGGATCTTGAGAAGAAGATTTTTGAAATTTTAGTCAATTTGACCCTTTTTGGCCCCGCCCCTCAGGCCCCTGGGGGCTTGTGACCATATAATTCACAATTTTGGTTGACCTTTGGCCTTGGAAGGCTTTTGCAAAATTTCATTGAAATTGGTTCAGGGGTTTTGGAGAAGAAGTTGAAAATGTAAATTGTTTACGGACGCTAGACGGACGACGGACGACGGACGAAGACGGACAAAAGGCGATTAGAATAAGTCACTTGAGACTTTGTCTCAGGTGCCCTAAAAAGTAAGTTTTCATTTTATCAGAAATACATTTCAATAATGATAAAATACTATATATAATTTCCCAACAGGAAAAAACATAGTGTTTTACATAAGAAAATAGAAATTATTGTGCATTTGCACATTGTATCACACACAAAATAAAACATAATGTTAGATAACACACTTTTTTCTACATCATCATTATTTGGATCATAATCATGTGGAGGTCGGTGATCATGGTCAGTCAGGTTAGATGGGTGCCCACTAGGATGAAACTAGAAGGGAACAGCTGTGAGCACGCATTTTCCCCACATCCTCATTGGTTGAATCATAACCACGTGGAGTTTGGTGATTTATAATATTGACTTAAACGAATCCCGTCGTAGCCGATAGAATGTTTCCTCCCAGTCATCGCGACAAGAATTTCCCGCGGTCTATCGCGGTGATCTATCACCCAAAATTTCGTACCTCACGGTTCACTGAACACGTGGGTCCTGCTGACTTCTCATGATCTTTCGCGTATCAGTCGCGGGGAAAGTGATGGTTTCTCTGGTCATCGCAATCTCTCGTTTCATTTCACAATTTTTTTTTATTGAATATTGCATCTCATACAAATTTCAAAAGGAATTGGGCAACAGGCGTCATGCCTATACAAGCCCTCTCCTATGGAATGGACAATGTATATTATAATATATTTATTGTGAAATAATTTTAAAGTTTGTTCTTCATCTAGGACAGAAGTCATCGACCAGAGCTCCCACGCAGTGACTCGTTAATTTAAGTTATATCAGTCATGTATGCATTATGGGAGTTCTCTCCCATACACCACAGAAGTGGATTGTGATACAGATCTGTTACCGTGATTGATATTAAAAAATGGCATGGTTCAGGCAGACGACCATAGGCTTAGCAGGATTTTAACTTGAGGAAGGATTTCATTCACATAGAATTGGAGTTACAACTAGAGAATAAATCTACTTGAGACTGCAGATGGATTACATGATTAAGAACGTAGGATGTAAGATATAAGAGGAGATTTATAGTTAGCAAGATCATTCTATCCCCAATGTAGTGATTCTGTTCCCTAGTCAATCTCTGCCCCCTCCGTAAATCTACAGATAGCCAGCATGGTACATGTGAGACATAGGTAACGACCTCTTCCCCATATATCACACTGACCACCAGCGGTCCCCATGACAGAATCAGAATGAATCTTGACTTATTATTGGGTTACATGAAAAAAAAAAGTATAACTACTCACACGTAAACTCCTACTCAAACTGGCACTCACTTATATACACACTCACTCACTCACTCAAAAGAATTGCCCATACATTATATATCCATTTAATTCTGTATTATAATATTATTGAGCGTGGTCAAAGATTTTGAATTGTAGAGGGAATGGCTTGACCACAAAGTCCATTTGTTTACACAAAGGTCAGCCAATTCCCAATAAATAGTACAAGTTGTACTTAACATACATCAATATTTTATACATATTTAAAGTGTTTGTACCAACCTCGATAATAATTTAAATTAATTAAGTTCATAAATTATAGGCGCTTAGTATTAGAAATGAATCTTATGGTGAATCTCTCGTGATTGACAGCTGGTGACCCCCCAATCAGAATTGGTCGGTCACCAGGACACGCGGTGATTTGATATTGATGACAAAAGTTCGCGTTTTGTTCCCACTTGATATGACGGAATATTCATTTTATGACGTCATTTTAATTGTGTCGTCACAATGCTTTCTGCCAAATGCACTATTTTCCTCTGTACACTTTGCATACGTTCCATCTTTTTTAAATGATGAAAACAGTATACAGCATATAATAAAACAATTAAATACTTTTCTTTCGTCTCGGTCAATATCACTGTCTTGGGATCATATAACCACATATTCACCTCAACAACAATAAATAACTGATCAATAGCACATCCTTAGCTGAAGATTTTCAAAAATTCTAACAAGGGAGATGATACATTCATTATTTACCTTCCGATTCAACAAAAATTGCATCCGCTATATGAAAAATTATGTTCTTATGAAAAGTCATAAAATAAAATATCAATGATCTGATGTTCAGCAAGTGAATGCGATCTTATGTTCTTCAAAATGAAAAGTAATATTGATCTGCGATTTCGGTGCTAAAATCTCACTAACTGTATAATATAAACATATTCACTTCTATGCCATAAACCTTCCAATACCTTAACATCAAAATACAATGGAATACATTGCAAATTGTTAGTTTAGCGGGTAACCATACACTTCGATCTCGCAAGTGTTCAAGTTGACACGATCTCGCGAGATTCTTAAAAACTGACCAAACACTGGTTTCTCGCAGAAGAACGTTTTCATTTGTCCGACGAAGGCGGGTCCTGGGTAATACATACACAAACCTCGGGGTCCGGTGGCTGTTTCTGCTACAGTGATGTTCAGGCGCTGGTTACGGTCACCTGGTAATAACAAGAAAGAGAGAGAGCAATTAAACCCTAATGCTGTTTTGAGCCAGATTTAAGAGACAATGTTAACACATGGTGATTAATGTCTATTCAATTTGTGTGTGAGACTCCTTATTTCAACATTATTCAATAAATACTCAACGGAAACTCTAAAAAAAAAAAAACACACATCATTTTTTTTTATATGAATTGTCCATGTACAACTAGCGAAATTATGCGAACGAGGTCTGTTTTGACCGTTTTATTTTCGCACAGCATTTATTGTTGTCTGTATCCCGTAGAAAAGCAGAAAGACAGTGGCGACGAACCAAATTTACCGTTCACCAACAGATTTATTGGGAGCAATGTCGGCTAGTTGGCTCACTACTCTTTCAGTCAAGAAGGCTTATTATTCGGTCAGAATCGAAGAATGCGGTAAGGATAATAGACAGCTTTTTAGACTCACCAAAAACCTAATGGGACAGAAAGGTGGAATTATCCTACCAAGCTGTACTTCTGAAAAAGACTTAGCAAGCAAGTTCAGTGATTACTTTCTGAATAAAATCAGCTCAATCAGGAAAAATATTGCCGAACTGAACTCCTCTGCTGACATTGACATCTCTATTATGACTGCTGGCATTGCATTTGATGGGGAACCATTGGCAAAGCTCAACATCAGCATGACCTAAGATCTTGGAGAAGGTTGTGTCCCGGCGTTTAGAGGTTCATCTCCATGCAAACAGTTTCCATGACAACTTGCAATCGGCCTACCGCATGGGACACTCTACTGAAACGGCCCTCCTACGTGTACATAATGATATAGCTTCTGCATTAGATAACAAGTGCCGAGCGGTGCTTGTAATGCTGGACTTGTCAGCTGCATTTGACGTCATCGGCCATGGCATACTTTATAAACGTCTGGAATACTCTTATGGAGTGACTGATACCGCATTATGCTGGATACAGTCTTATCTGAGTGAACGGCGACAGTGTGTTGCCATCGGATCTTCCACCTCACATGAAAAAGTACTAGATTTCGGGGTTCCTCAAGGGTCGGTGTCAGGTCCACTAAAATATTGTATGTACTTCAAACCGATTGGGGAGATTTGTCGTCGCCATAGCCTTCGCTATCATTGCTATGCCGATGACACACAGATTTACATGTTCAGCAAACCACAAGACATTCTTCTACAGTCTCAGAAAGTCTGGAAGCTTGTCTGACAGATATCAGTGTCTGGATGAACGCCAACATGCTTAAGCTTAATCAGGAAAAGATGGAACTAATCGTCTTTTCCCCAAAGTGTCAGCAAACAATGGCTCTCAAGCTCAAGGTCGGTGCCAGAACTATTGAGACTGTTCCAACTGTTTAAAACCTAGGGGTATACTTTGATAGTTCACTGAACATGGAAAAACAAGTAAACGAATCCTGTTACTACCAGATCAGGAACATCGGCTGTATTCGGCAGTTTATAACTGCAGATGCATGCAAGATTTTGTTCACATGTGAAATCAAGTTTTAGAATTTATATTTGTTTATATGTATTGATAGTCTAGTCTTCCTTCTGTTGATATAAAGCTGAACTTGCCAGGGGTATAACTCCTGATAGTACGACAAAGTAAATTCACCCAAAAAATGGAAATCTTTGAAAAAACATTTAGCCCCTTTTCGTTTTGATTTATGATTATATACACATGCTAGAAGAAAAAAAGAAAGGCTAAAACTTTTCGGTCCTATTTATTGGTAGTATGCTTATAGTAGTACTGGCTGATTGGGTAGGCTTAATCACGGAACCTTGTCGTATGTTTTTCCGAAAAATTAAAAGGAGAAAAAAAAACTAGCTTCTGAGCCAGTGAGTGTAATCTTACTGGTGATCAGTACACAACAATATAATTACATTTTAGCCAAAACCTCCGCAGTTGACAGACGAAATGTTGCTAAATTTGTACATCGCGTTGCTAAACAATTACAATTTGGTGTGAATCAATCAATTGTTTCCTTGTCATTTATGCGTTTATGACATACGGGAAGGTTACCGGACCATGCCAACAATAAACAAAGACTGTGTCCGAGCATAGTAAGAAATTATTTGCAAGATATTGGTTTGAGGCTACGGTGCCCTTTAGTAGGACTCCAACCTACATGTACTCAACGGCGACGTCAGTGTCGTTTGAAGCGGTGCCGTGCACTTGCGCTAAGCGTTTATCGCTTTACTTATTGAAGGCGTGTCTTATTCATAAACAGGTTAATAAACGTGGCTTCCCTTAATTAAACTCTCTTGCATGTCATTTTCTGCCACATGACCTGCGGAAAGACGTTCAAGGAACGTTTTGTCAGTTTATAATGCGTCCCGCTATCGTTTTACCCGGTTCTTGTCTGTTACGCGTACGGTGTTGTCCGTCACAATGCCTGGTCATTGTTCTATGCTTGTCCAGTAATTGTTCGGTCATTATGGTTTTTATCCGTTCAAACACTGATCGTGAGAGCCTCGTGTAGCAACGAAGACGAGTTTTCATCACTGGTTAACTATTTTTCGTAAACCTTCTGTCCGTTTGACCTCCCTTTACGCTATTAGGAAAGGTGTGATAACATTTTCACTTCTGAAAAATGTTATCTTTAATAAAAATAAAACGCATTTCTTTTTTCCGCGCTTGTTTATAAGACAACGTGTCTTAAAATATACCCACCACAGCATTCGATCCTGCTCAAAAACGAGACAGACGTCACTAAATGTCGTGATCCTAGGTCAACCTGCCAGTATGGGGTGTTATCTTCATCAGACTCGCCTGTGTCGGCCGTATGAGAACAGGATATAAGATTAAGATCCAATTCATCTTGCTTTGGGTAGCGACGTGAGTCGACAGCACGATTCGCGTGAAACGTCTCGTCCAAACCAAGATAAGAGGTTTGAATTGCTGTCTTTCCGGCTGCCAAATTGCCGATCGGACCTGTGTTTAAAAGGACATCATTAAAAAAAATATTAAAAAAAATGGAGTAAACATTATGTCTTGATAAGTACTTGTAAGTGAGGTATTTAAATATGTTTCTAACAATTCTCAAAGATACTTAATTTGAAAAATACGTGTTCTGAAATCACAGGTTCTATGAAATGTGTTTCTCAAAATGCATTTGAGACGGAAAATCAAACTGCTATTTCAAACATCAAAATTTCTTAGAAAGTTTGTTTTTTGGTATTTTTTTGTTTCATGTTCTTTATTCAGCATTTTTGATCAAAGTGTTTTTAAGATATTGAAGACTTTAATTTCCGTTTAAGACTTTCGACATAAGTTATGAATATCTAAGTAGTGCTAAATAAAAACTTTACTCGGCCAAAAAAATCGTTTTATTCATGTTTGCATATAGGTCTCCAACCCTGGGTGTAACTATTTGTTTATTTTACCCTCGGGAAAGGCACCTTTTTTTTTTTTTATCAATGATTTACCTCTTGGGCTAAAATCAGGTACAGATATGTATGCTGATGATTCGACTCTGAGTGCATCTGGAAGTTCTATTTCTATTGTACAGGATGAGTTACAAGCTGATCTGATTAAAGTCCAAGACTGGTGTAATGAGAATAAAATGATTCTAAATAGGAATAAAACGAAATGTATGGTTATTGCCACAAAACAGAAACTTAACAGAATAGATGATGCTCTAAGCCTAATATTAGATCAGGAATGTATTGAACAAGTAAAGAGTGAAAAACTCCTTGGTGTAAAAATTGACAACAGTTTATCTTGGTTAGATCACATAGCATCTGTTGTTTCAAAGATTAACAGTGGTTTGGGTTTACTTCGACGCATCCGTCAATATTTACCACTTTCAGCTAGACTTAAATTT